AGGCACACCTTGGGATGCCATGGTATAAAGGCGATGGCTCTCGTAATGGCTAACTTTAGCTATGGCAGCTTCGCACCAGCACAAATGGCAACCAGGCGCTCCCAGCAAATCAAAGCATCAATCAGTGACAATTGAGTGGCTTGGATATCGAATCGATTTACAACGGTTTTCAGAAGCAACTCTTATCCTCTGGTGCCGGCACACCCTAAACTTTGCAAATCCAGCAAAACTCCATCCATATACCCAACCAGACTACCATCTACCGTTCAGTCTGCAAACAGCTTGTGGCGGTTTGAGGCCCAAATGCAAGTGGAACTACGCCGTATTAACAGATCCTTCGGTAACGGGAAACAATCGACCGAGTGGCCTTTGAATATCCCGAAAACGTACCAAAGTTCTTCTCAAAGATGATCTAATTGGTAAACAATACACTCAAATTCACTCATGGGGAAGCAAAGCGGCTCAACACTGAAATAAAATGTCCGGCCTTCCCCATCTCGCTTCGACTATTGCAACTTTAGGCGATCACAGTAGAGCGACCCTCCATACGGGGGGGGAAGTTGGAACGAGAAGTTTCAGGGGTGTGTGGGTATGGGACGAGCAGCGACGGTTTGGGATGGGGAAATCGCTGGTATCCGGGGAGCCCTTGACAGGATGGGAGGGGATCGGGAGGTTCTGGTCCTCTCGGATTCCCAAGCGGCCATCAAGTCACTAGTGAAGGCTGGGAAAAGGGGGAGAGCGAGGACCCACGATATGGTTCAGGTGATGAGAAAATTGGGGAACTCAGGCACTAAGATCCATTTTGGGTGGGTGAAGGCACATGCCGGGATTGAGGGGAATGAGAGGGCAGATTGCTTGGCAAAATCTGGGGCCCAGAGGAGAGGGGACCATATAATCACGGAAGGAGGGGTGCGGCAGTGGTATAAGGAAAAGACCCGGCAGGAGAGACGGGTGGTGGGGTTTGGCCTAGGAAGAGTGGTTAGGTGGAATAGGAGGGCGGTGGTGAATTACTCCCGGTGCCGCAGTGGCAAAGGTGACTTTGCTGTCTGGAGGCGGAAATTGGGAGAGCATGATCTGGATATGACCTGCAGAGTGTGCGGGGAGTATGAAGAGACGGGGAGTCATGTGGCGCTAGTGTGCCCCGAAGGGGAATGGCTGGGCCGGAGATTCGGCTGTTGGGAGGACGTCGACCAACTGAAGGTCGTCGTGAAGAAGGAGATGGTCGACGGAAAGGAAGTTTCGGTCGATTTGGCGGAGACCTTCTTTTCTCGCTTGCGATCGTGTTGATCGCATGCGAAAAGGGGGCGGATGTGGGGGGAGTGTTAGATTTGTGGTCTTAGTGTTGCGTTAGTTAGCTTCGCCCTGGGAACAGGGGGCATAGGGCAATAGGCCCACCTGAACCTCGCCATGGTCATGCCGCACGCGAGTATTGAAATAAAAAAAAAAAAAAAAAAAAAAAAAAAAAGACCCTCCATACGGAAAGATCGTCTTGCAAGTGTGGTTTAGCCGGGAACTAACGTCGAGGATTTCGTACCTGAAGCCGAAACTACTAATGAAGTCCTCATGAAACCCATCACCGGCAGAGACTAGGGAGTTGTCGAGTCGACAGAAAATGCGGAAACATTTGGCTACGGCTTCCCGTTTCAAATCATATCAATATAGTTATCGTTGAACGTTCTGCATATTCCTTTCCTCTACAGCGAATTCCACCATTCTAGATATTTCTTTTCCCTGAGCGAATCGGTCGTTATGGATATCTAATATCCTGCACTATGCATGTCTTTTGGCGATATTGGAAAATTCCATGCGTTGCGGCTGAATTGGAAGCTGTCAACCTCATTCCAAAAGTATGCCATCCTACATTCGGCACCGCCATCCCGTACTGGTACTTATAGGCACCTAACTCTACTTACCCCGCACAACTGCACTGCACTACCTTTCATGGGGTCTCCAACGTCTCCCAGCCCGGGGTCCGCTACCAAGAATACCCAGGTACTTATGTAGTCGAGCTCTCAGCTTTTCTAGAGATGGTTGCAGAGGAGTGGGCATTTGCCGAGCTGAGGTTTGGCAGGGCTAGCTTTTCGATATATATATCGACAAAGCATCTGATCCCACCGCTTGATTCAGATAGGTACATATCATATTTTACCGCCCAATGTGGTTTGAGAACTAATATTACGGTTCAATCCCTTTATACAAGATTTTAGTATGTTCATATACTAACTCAGTTTGTCGAACAGAATGCAATGAGTGACAGGGGCACCCTGGAGCATCGACGTTAAAACCATGGAAACAAGGCTGGTGCCGGTATGACTCTGTTTGCATATAATAAGCACGATTTCAGCCTACCCGGGATTGGCTTTCCTGAGATGTTGTAAAGAAGCATGATAGAAGGACCTCAGCGTAATTCTGTGAGAGACATTCCTAAGATCATAGGGCCTTCGCAGGGTAGCAGATGCAGGAACCGTCGGAAGCTTAGAGGTAAGTATTTATCACAAGACTAATATCTGAAGGTGGATATAAACCAAGAATAATACCCTCCTTGTAACCTCTTCAGCCAACACGGTTCGTTCAATACTTCACTTCGGTTACTGCATTGTACATACCCTTCTACAATGCTTGTTCAATCGGCATTTGTCGATTTATTTGCATTGGCTTCTGGCCTTACTGGTGTTGATGCTAGCGCGTTGAAGATTTCCTAAGGGATTTGTCACAACAAAGGGTACAAAGTTCGCAAGGACTTCTACTTTGCAGGAAGCAATGCCTATTATTTCCCGTTTGGAAATGTAAGAATTTCCACTTCTTCCAATACTCGTGGCTTACCACATTCGTAGAACGAAATTGATGTCGAACTTGGTATGAAGGCAGCGACAAAGGCCGGATTGAAGGTTTTCCGAACATGGAGTTTCTACGACAAGAACGTCACCTATAACCCAGAAGGTCTCCCAAGTACGGTGGTGAGGGTGCTGGTCCATCGGAGGTCTACTTCCAGAGCTGGGATGATGGCAAGCCACCCATCAACTATGGCCCAACTGGTCTTCAGGCATTCGACAAGGCCGTTAGGGCGGCTGAGAAGACTGGCATTAAGCTCGTGGTTGCACTTGGTGAATTTGGCTGATGGGTATATTTGTACAGTGGGCAGATTACGGTGGATTGGACGTCTACACTGTCAACCTTGGTGGAAAATACCACGGCGACTTCTACCACGTTCCTAAGATCGTCAACGCCTACAAGAATTACATCCAGGTATTCATCAATCGCTACAAAAATTCCCCAGCTATTATGGCCTGGCAATTAGCGAACGAGCCTAGATGCGGTCCGACAACGTCGGCAACCTTTCCCGCTCTGCGGACTGTGTCCACAACCGTATGACTGCTTGGGTCAAACATATCAGCGCGTACATCAAGAAGCTCGATCCTTGTCACTTGGTCTCTACTGGTGGCGAAGGTGCATTTCCTAACAACCTTTGGAAATAGGTGAATTCAACTTCCTCGACCGCACCGACGACTGGGCCTACTCCTCCGCCGACGGCGGCGACTTCTACGGCGAGCTTTCCCTCCCAACATCGACTACGGCACCTTCCACCTCTACCCCGACTGGTGGAGCAAGACCTCCGCCTGGGGACCCCAGTAGGTCAAGGACCACGCGACCGCGCAAGACAAAGCCGGGAAGCCCGTAGTCTTTGAGGAATATGGATGGCTTTCTCCCGAGAAGAGGCTCGAGTATCTTGGTAAAAATACGATCGAGTATAGGATTCCTGTTGTTAGCGAGTGGCAGAGGACCGCGGTCGAGAAGAAGCTGGCAGGTACACAGTACTGGCAGTATGGGTATGATGGGTACTCGTATGGCAGGAATTGGGATGATGGGTTTACGATTTATTTGGAAAATAAGGAGGAGGCGGATGTGTTGGTTGTTAACCATGCGAAGGATATGGATGCGTTGAATAGGAAATCGGAGTGGCAGTGGTGGTAGGTTGCATAATGATCTAGAAGGCCGCCATAAATTTTACGGAGGTATGGATTGCCATGTATTATTAGTTTCATAGTATCCAAATCATAATATCCCACGCATTTACAGCATTTCGTGTGCCTACATGTCGTTGGAAGAGTTACTACACGTTCCTCTACGAGACTCTGCTCGGTTCGAACAATACAAAACAGTTAAATCAAACATGGGATCCGGGGATTAATTTCTTTGGGTACCGAAACTTATTGCTTTCAAGGGACCTTTGTATGATATTAACACGGGTCGTGCATCCAGGCGACTGCATTGGCCATCATCTGGATTAATTTGGGTTACTACTTGTAACCAAAGGCGGTGGACTTGTAAAGTCCTACTGCCGGGTGCACTAGTTTGACGTTGAACGTACTCGGTCGAAAAGCTCGGCGAAAGATGAGTAGGGGTTTGTTGAGTGCTTTCGGGATTGACAAGTGGCCTCGCAAGCTGGCAGGTGTCAGCCAGACAATCTTGCAATGCGGCTTGTGTATCAACCTCGGGTTGCTGCCATACAACGGGAGGGACTTGCGGGGGAAGAGGTGACACCCTTGAAGCGGGTGTTCCGTGGCATCGCTGGTGTGTGTTTGGTGTCTGGAGCTGGGTTGGTATGGATTGTCATGGCGTAGACAGCGAGGTTCGAAATTATGCAGGTCAATTGGGTCTGGGGTAAACATAGAGGTTGACAGAGCAGTTGATAGCGACGAGGTAGTCTGGTTGCCAATTCCCGAAGAATAAGGTATACGGATCCCCTGAGAAGAGTAAATGCTAGCATTCCATCCTATGGTCAAACACTCAAGCCAGACTAGCGATACATTTTGGCAGACAAAAGTGAACGAAAGCAGATCTTGTTTCTGCAAAGGAGCCTCGTTTCCAGTCTCTGAACGTTGGTTGGTGCCAAGAACGTTGGTTTGGTACCAAGACATATTTGATTTTTGATTCAAAGATCATGTCCCAATTAGTAAAGCTACAGTACATATTTGTCCCTAACTTTCAAACGTATAAAATCCGTCGTGGTGTAGTGGCTAGCATTTGAGACTCTCAACCCGCTTTCATGCAAGGTGGCGCGAGCACTCTCAGAACCCGGGTTCAATTCCCGGCGACGGAAACTGCCGTTTTGTTTCTTTTCTTTTTGCTTCCCCCATGAGGTTGTGCATTGTTACTAGGAAAGGAAGGAAAATCTCCTAGCGGATTTCTTGGCGTTGTTTGGATGAAAATTTTACCGGGGCTTAGGGAATTACCATATTTTGACATCTCTGTGTCTACGCACGTTATGAGTCTGGTTAAGTATAAAGCAACAGGAAAGTCCTCATATAAGTACTTGAGACTATACCTATACAGTATATATAAATATGCATCCTCTATCTGGCCATACGATACTCGCAATCACTCATCCATTTATTGGTGAGAGATCTGAAACTATAGTTAATGCTTCAGGGTAATTTCTATAACTAGGCAACGTTTACGGCCTAGATGGCTAGTAGAGAATTTACCAGATTACCTAAAATAGCTTCATCAGAGCTTTGTTTTGGAGAAGTTAAGTCTTGTCATTCCATGTATCAAGGGAGATGGATAGCAGACTGGGGCATTGGATGGGTCGCCTGCAACCAGGTCTCGCTCTCGTGCCAGACAGAAGCAGGAATATATCATTTTTTTTTTTTGAACTCAGTACTCGTATGCACAACCGTAAGGGTCGTATGACGAGCCACTCCGGAAACCCGGGTGGATTCAAAGTACGTACAAGTTAATCTGCACGACCGGCAGAGAGAGAGAATTGGTCCCTATGGTCCCGCATAAAACAAAGTATAACTGCTCGCAGTTGTAGCTATCCACTCTCCCAAAGCTCTCTCGCAGGTATGAAAATAATACATAAACGCTCGCAGGAAGGGGTAAACAATCCACACTCTCAGCGCCCTCTCGCAGTTATGAAAATAAAACATGAATGCTCGCAGGTAGGAGTAAGCTATTCTCTACTCTTTTTCTTCTCCCTTGAAGGTCTGTCCCAGTGATACTCTGAAATCCTAAAGTGCCTTCTGCCCATTCGCAAGGTCCTGCAGCTGATGTCTATATTATGGGCCAAGTAGACAACCAGCGACGAGGCTAGTTTCCCAATTCTTTTTTGTTTCCCCAGTAACCAGCGTATTCCCAGGATTTGGGTGTCATTATTTTCCTCGATCCAGCGGCGCATGAGACCGGGCTTATACTTTGATGGGGCCGCATGCAGAACTACGGCTCGTGTCTGCCTTAGGGGTAGGAATATATCATACTTGCAAGTAGAATTCTTCTAGGTCAAGATAGATCACTGAAGTCACAAAACTAGAATGTTTTACTGCTATAAACATTTTGTCAAATTTTGTGACAAATCCCTTTTCCATTGATCGAAATTATCTCCTGTAACAATGCGCATTATACAAAATCCATTCAGCCCACAGAAAAGAAATTTATAAGAGAACATGGACTCGTTAGGAGGCATCACCCTTGCTCCTCCCCGTGACAGTGCCATAATCCTTCTGGAACAAGCTTGGCGGCACCTGCGCCGCATCAGCAGTATTCTTCCCGCTAAGTCCTAAAAACGTCAGTAAAAAAGCAAGTAAGGGGAGTTGTGTGTCCTACGCGTGATGGCTACCAGGAGTAGCAAAGGTCTGGTCCCTACCAACCGTCTTGGAGCCGTCAAGGTCGCTGTCGACGCGAGGATCCACCTTGTTCATGATGTCAGATTTGTGAGGACCGGCAGTGTGTGGCGCTGGACCAGTGTGCCTGACGCCGTGGGGTGTGCCAGTGGTAGTCCCATAACTAGCTCCGTGCGTATTATCGTGAGTAGTTCCAGCGATAGTGGTACCAGGACCATAACCAAGTCCTGGAGCACCACTGCCGCGATGATCAAGGTCGGAATCAACGCGAGGATCAAGTTTATTAGCGATGTTGGTAGAGTGAGGGCCATAGTTGGTGGAAGTACCGCCTGTTGTTCCGTAATAGCCGGTAGTACCGGAAGCACGATGATCGCGGTCGGAGTCAACACGAGGGTCCAACTTGTTGGCCACATTGCTGCCATGCGGACCAGCATTAGTGGAGCCATAGCCAGTACCGTAGTCAGTTCCACTGCTGCTCAAGCCAGTAGTACCGATAGTGGTGCCCCGGTCCCGCATTCCCATGTTTCGAGATCCATCCAAATCAGAATCAACTCGTGGGTCCAGCTTGTTGGCAATATTGCTCCTGTGAGGACCAGCATTGGTAGAGTCTGAGTAACCAGTACCATGTGCACTCCCGTGGGTAGCACCAGGACCGTAGGTGGTGGCACCTAGATTTCGCGAGCCATCACGGTCGGAATCAACTCGTGGATCTGCCTTATTCAAGAGGCCTGAGTTGTGGGGTCCAGTAGTAGTATGATGCTTACCAGTAGTAGTACCAAGACCACCAGAAGTGTAAGCTCCTCCACCAGTGGCTCGGTGAGAGCTGTCTAGGTTAGAGTCAACAGTAGCTATACCCAAAGTTAGCATCTTTGAATTTTGACTTGTATGATTAATACTTACGATCAAGCTTGTTGCCCAAATTGGTGTTATGTGGTCCGTAGTTTGTAGTTCCGTGATGTGACCCGTATCCTCCAACATCAGGAGTCTTTCCAGTTGTGCCTATAGTTCGTGATCCATCCCTATCCGAATCGACACGGGCTAAAGCACTCCAGTTAGCACTAAAATCAACTCATACAGTTGAAATGCGGTGGAATACTCACGGTCTAGCTTGTTGGCAAGATCTGATCTGTGAGGGCCAGCAGTCCTTCCGGTGGCTGAAGTATCAGTGGTAGTTCCAACTCCATGGGTCCCAGCACGGTGTGTAGTGCCAGAAGTTCCAGTAGTATCAGTGGTACGCTCGTGGCCGGTAATGACCTCCTTAGCCTTCTGGATGATATTACTCATGATGGATGTAAGTCTCGAGTATAAACGCTTTTGATATAGTTATGTAAAGAAATCTACTTCGGTGTAATTGATTGGGGGGCCGTGAAGGTTCTTGTACGAGAATATAATGAAGAGAAGAAAAGGTCTAGAGGGAACTGAAGGATGTTATATACCCCAATGGTGGAGATGTCCCAATCAAGCCAATGCCCTCCAATTTCTTGGTTGCCTGTCTGGGTTCATACTACCAACTCCGTCATAACTGCCACTACTGACCCTGATTTTCGCAACTGTATACAAACCCCACAATCTTTCCCCGATTGTAGCCTTGTCCGGTTGCAGTTTCGCACAGATTGCCGTATTAGTCTGAGTTTTCCCTCAACTAACACAAATAAGAAACCCAGTTGCACCCCACAGAATTGCAAAACCCAAAACGTCATGATGATGGATCACGCAAAGCGTGCACCCACCATGTGAGACTGAAGGCGTCTGCCAAGTTAGGCGATCGCAAGCCACGGCGATCTCGTACCTAAGCCACAGTACATTACTTGTTCTCAGGGGAAGTGGAACCAGATGGCCTTTGGCAGGTTCCTGTATACCGGTATTCCGATTTGATTCCGGTTGATCTCCATACGCATACCATGATGCAATTCCCAATTCGTGATCTCTGCTTCCGGCTTCGGACTATGTGACGTAAGTGAAACATACAGACCGCCAAGGCCAAAGTTAAGTTACTTGATTAGTCTAGATTCCACCTAGCCAGATTGCAAGCTCTGCAAATCAGGTTAGTCTAGTTGCACAATACCTCGTGCATCTTGGTAGGGGGTGCCAGACTAGGTAGGAGTACTGTCCAGTACTTGATTTTAGTCTTCTCGAAAACGCACTAGATTTATGGGAAGGGACACGCAGTGTCTTGTCGTGCTACGTACTATACTAACTCACTTAGGTACTTAATATGGAATATCCGATTAGCTTGCAATATAACCACTGTAGCACGTGCAACCTGGCCCAAGGATTGACTTAAACTGCTCAAGGAACAGTCTATACGTTGCAAATAACGTTAAGAGTTTGGGATCTGCTGATCATTTTATCAAGTCGTTATTGACTACAGCCTGAAAACGAATCGGGCCCAGACCAGACTGCCTTCTGCCTAAGCAGGAAGAAAAGCCCATAGCTAACTAATCTTAAGTGAAGAACGATGGCAAATAATTAGCAGAATCCGCACACAGAGGGCAGTACACATGCAGACTAAATAGGAGACTAGTAACAGAACAGTTCTGAGGCCAGTACGGATCACTTGAACAATCTACCGTCAGATCTTCGATACATGGTATGTACAACACCGACGTCGTCAGCTAGCTCAGACCTTTATCTCTTCAAGTATTCAAAACCATGAAGGACCAATAATATATGTATATTTGTTTATATTTTTATCTCTCTATCAAGTTTCTCTCCCAGTAGCCAATGTTATATAGCTCACAATGCTACATGCTAAGAATTCAAGGTTGTATATCTTTAGGCCTTATGAGTAAGAAAACTAAATAGGTGGTAGAAATTAAAAACATATAGCCACCAGACTCAAGTAGAATGCGCGACCGGAGCATCTTAAGAACATGGCTTTTATATCGTTACAGTTATCGGTTTCTCAATTTAATATAGGGAAAAGTAGATGGGAAGAGATCAAGCAACTTGACGTTTATTTCCATGCCAAATGATCTGCAATTTTTTGGCTTGTATTGATACCAGCTATATTCTTACCGAGGGGTAATTGTTTGTGATTCTATAGCTTAAAGGGGTTATGTTTTGATCACTTTCTTGTATAGTAACTAGTACCTTTCTCCAAGATGTGCCCTAGCGCAAATATGAGTGTGCCTTGTAAACTGCAATAAAATCAAACCCGCTGGAGTCGGGAAATCGCATAGATGCTTCAGGTTGATATTAGGAAGTCTGGCTGCGGGAGCTAGTAGAAGCCAAACTCCGGAAGGCGAACAGGCTCAAATGGAGCACGAGTTCAAGACAGAGTCAGGGGATGTTCATGCAAGTTTTTAGTGAAGATAGAGTCAAAGCTTAGAAAAAAGTGTTGAGCAGGAGAAGTGAGCAGGGCAGTATTCAGCATAAGGAAGAAGGGAGAGTCTGTACACTGACTTCTGGTTGATATCGATCAACCGGGTAGGCACATCGACACACCGGAGTTAACAATCTAACAATCATTTACAGC